TTTTTTTTAGAAAGCATTGAAGTGTACCTTCATCTTTTTTTTTTTTTTTTTTGGTGATGGGGGGTGTGTGTGTGTGTATGGTGTTTTAGACAAGGTCACACTGTGTCATGACCCTCCAGTCTCATCCTTCTAAGTAGCTAGGACTATGAGGTGTCAGCCACCACAGATGGTTTTTTAGGGTGGGCAGGGAATGAGCCTGCCAAACAACAGTATCCAGTGCATACTACCACGTTAGACCTCTCCTTCATCTTTATTTTTTAGATTTTTCCCATAGGGCACATGCACTCAAAAGAGACAGAGAGAGAGCAGAATGTGAGAAATCATCCCTGGCGAGATGGCCATACTGCAATCCCTTCTCCTCCATTCTTCTCCTGTGATTCTGGGCACCCATGCACATGGGCCCAGTGTGATCCCTAAGCCATCAGATCCAGGACTTGAACTGCAAAGTCAGCCATGTGGGACCCAGCTACCATATCATTCTCAACTACCATACATATGCTGGCCCTCCTTCACCTTTTAAAAAACATGAAGTCAATTTTATTTTGAGGGGAGAAATATCAAGTGCAAAAAATGGACTTAATACTCAGTACATGAAATATCATCAGTTTAGTAGAAGTTTCGGTCACCTTTTTCCATTCTTCCTTGCTGATCTACTACAAGTCTTTCACCATAAAATTTGGCACCCAAGCAAAAGTGATTTATACAGGTCCTTGACTAAGTATATCTCCATATAAATCAGATTAAGTGTTGAGTATGTTTCTAGTTTGTATGTATGTGATTCTGTTATATATCAGCCACATTTTACCTTACTTTCCCCTAGCTCTAACTCTCTGCAATCATAAAAATATGTTGTAATAAGCATCTTTATCATGTTACTTAGTGGATCTGAATAAAAGTTTTTCTGAAGGAAAGAGATTTTTCTAAACAAGTGAGATTGCTGGGTCAAATGGTTCATGTTCACTTCACATCGTCTGGTTGCTCTGCAGAATGGCTGGACCTGTTTACTGTTCACATTTCCACTGGCTATCCACAATGCCGTTTCTCTGCACTGGACTATCTTACTTAATTTTACCATACTTACTTTAATTTTGAGTATAACTATTTTTAAATTGTTGAATTATTTTTAAAATTTCTCCAATTACTAATGAGGTTGGAAATTTCTTCACATGTTTATTGACCTTAGAATTCCTTCTGATGGAAATTCTTATCATCTGCCAATTTTTCAAAAGGACATCAGATCTTTATTATATGTTACAGGAGTTCCTTACATATTGTAGAAAGAAATAACTTATCATTGGTAAACACTACAAATATCTTATATTAGTCTATTGTCACCTGTTAACAACACTTTCACTGTGCAAATATCTTTAATTCTGATATAGCAATCTATTGATTTTTTTTTCATCAGGTTTATGAATTGAGATTTTATTTTCATATCATCACAAAGAAATTTTACACTTTCTATATGTGTTTTTTAATTTTTAAATCAAATTCATTCATGCATATAGCTGAAAAAGTAAAATAACATCCGGGCGCTTGTGTATAAGTGCCCAAGATCCTGAGAGGAGAATGGAGAAAGGACTATGGCGTGGCCATACCTCTGGGTTTGGGGGGAGTGATTTCTCACTTTCTAGCTCTGTCTCTCTCCGTCTTTCTGGTGAGCACATGCGCCCTATAGCAAAAAAATCTCTCCCCTTCAAAAAAAGGTAAAATAATATTACAATGCTTATTACAAAAACAGAAGTACCCTTTTGTCCCAAGTCCTTCTTCCTACAGGCAATTTCTTTCAGTTCTTCTAGCTATTATCCCCCTCCTTTTTTATTATATCTTCATATTTTGGGGTAGAGGCAGTAGTATATTTTTCTATTTGAGTCATTATCTGTCTACTTTTTGTCAGGCAGCGAAGGACTTGGCATCTAATACTAACCACTCCCTTAACCAATATTATTATAGCACAGTTTTAGGCGTGAAAGTTATACCTCTTATTTGCTTAGCTTCTATTTACCCCCTTCAACTTTTTCTTTTTCTTTTTTTTTTCATTTCATTTTCTTCCATACATTCAATCACATTATTATTTGTCTTACAAAATGGATATTTCAACAGGTGAACATTTCTCCCTAGTACTGTTGATAAAACTACGAAATAACTTCAACAGATAATACCACACTTCTTTATGCCATTAATGCTTTGCCTCCCTGTCCCTTCCCCAAATGTCCTTCCTCAGACCCTCCTCGTTCACACACACTATATCTGGTATTTATATCTATATACTGTGTTTCTATAGCCTTTAGACAATTAGTTTCAGTCATAGAGTGCAGATACTCAGTATATATTAAGTGGGGACATACAATGCCTCTCCTTCATAGCATGGCTTGCTTCACTCAGCAGTTAAGTCTTCCATATTCATCCACTTCCTGTCAAAAGCCAGGGTTTTGTTGTTTTTTATGAATGAATAGTATTCCATTGAGTATATGTGCCACAGTTTTTCTAACCATTCATCGGTTCGTGGGCATTTGGGTTGTTTCTATGACTTAGCAATTGTGAAAAGTGCCGCAATAAACATCGATGTGCAAGCACTTTTCCAATTAAGCCCCCTTCAACTTATTATGACCCATACTTTTGATTTCCTCATGAAATTATCACTAGATTTATATGATTCTATAGACTTATGAATGTATTTATATGATACATATTATATCAGGCACTATACTAAGTTTTTTACATATATTATGCTTGTCTAAAACTCAAAACTATCTAATGGCATAACTATTGCTGCTAGCCTTATTTTTTGATGACCAGAAGCAGACAAACTCACAGTAAAGAGGTGATGCAGCTGGGATCCAATTTAGAAAGTCTGGCTGGGAATTTACCATGTTAAAATACCAGGCTATTCTGTCTCTAAAATTTTTTCCCAGACAAGACACATACATTAGCATGCTCACCATGATCCTTACAGTCAAGTGCATTGTATTCTGGACTCACCTGACTATTCCTGCATTTCCCTTTTCTCTGATTTTTATAATACACAAGTCCTATAAAATACCTGTTCATTCTGTTTCCCAAATAGCTCATCATGGCTTTTTATCTCTTCATGATGAATACTCTCTAAGAGTATTTTCAAAGAGGTTATTTTTTTTTTTAAATAAGCCTCCTAAGTTAATATTCATAACACGTTTTCCTTTTTGAGAGAGTGTACAACTGGGTTCAAATTGTTAAAGTTCTTTTTCTCCAAGACTTTAAACATATTTCTCAATTGTTATCTTGCATGTAGTGTTGCTATTGAGAAGACTGATATCAATTTGATGTTTACTTTATTATACAAATGCTCTTTCTCCTTAAAAAGTCTAGTTTTTTCCTTCATCCCTGATAGTCATAAATTTTAATACAGTGTGCTGGGTGTTTGTTTTTATTTATGCCTACTTTGTTATTTCTTTATTGCCAGAAGACATATGCTCTTACCAAGGAAAGAAAGAAAAAGTGAGAGAGAGAGCAAGAGAGACAGATAACAAGTACCCCTTCCCCCTCTTTGGGTTATGGCCACAGTGCAATCCCCTCTTCTCCATTCCATCAGAACCCTAGGCAGGCAAGCACATGCACCTTCACATCTTTGAAGCAATTGGGGCTGGAACCCAAATGTGATTGTCTATGTGCAATTCGGCTCACTTAAGCACTGTATCACAAGGCTGGCTTCTTACCTATTATCATTAGCACCTAATGACATCATTCAGTTTAAGGATTTCCATCTTTGGAGCAATTTAGATCCCTTTTTTTTTTTTTTTTTGAGAGGTTTTTGCTATAGGGCGCGTGCGCTCACCAGACAGACAGAGACAGAGAGACAGAAAGTGAGAAATCACCCCCCAGGGGGGATGGCCACGCCGCAATCCCTTCTCCTCCATTCTCCTCTCGGGATCTTGGGCACGCACGCACATGCGCCCGGCATGAGGTTAAGCCACCGCGTCCGGGAATCGAACTGCGGTCGACTACGTGGGAGTCCAGCGACATAGCCATTATGCTAACTGCTGGTCCCTAGATCACTATTTCTGTAAGTAGCTCCATTTCTCCATTTTTTTCTTCCCTTTTGAAAGTCCTACTTAAATATTTTCACTATTTCTGTTAGTATATCTTAACTTTCATATTTCCCATCTCATCTTCTCACTATCTTGTTTTTCTGCTATATCCTTTCTGCTCATTCTACTATTGAAGCCATCTACTGAGTTATCTCAGCAGTTATATTTTCATAGTAAGTATTCCCAATTTATTTTTCTTTATAACTACTTATCCTACCCCTCATGATACCAAACATACTTCCTTTATTTTCTCTGTGAAGATACTTATTATACTTATTTTAAATTCATGTTTTGTTTGGACTCAAAATTTTGTTTTATTTAGGCACTGGTTATTCAGTTTATTGTCTTTTTTTTTTTTTTTGGAGAGGTTTTCGCTATAGGGCGCATGCGCTCGCCAGACAGACAGAGAGAGACAGAGAGACAGAAAGCGAGAAATCACCCCCCCAGGGGGGATGGTCACGCCGCAATCCCTTCTCCTCCATTCTCCTCTTGGGATCTTGGGCACGCACGCACACACACCCGGCGTGAGTTCCAAGCCACCGGGTCCGGGACGCGAACCGCGGTCGACTACGTGGGAGTCCAGTGACATAGCCATTACGCTAACTGCTGGTTCCCAGTTTATTGTCTTTTATACCATTTGTACTTTTTGTTCATTTCGTCAGTTTTTCAGATGCACTGACTTCTCATTCTGTAGTTTATTTAAGGCTTTATGTTCTACAGAGGCAGATCATTCATTTTTCTATTTCTAGAATTTCTTTTGTAAGAATTTAAAATAAGCAATTAAATCTAAAGTAAGAGTTAAGCAACTAAATCTAAATTGTCATGTTCTACCATATGTAACACACTCCGATTATAGCTACACTGAAAAGAACGAAAAAAAAAAGTATCCACCTCAAATTTTCACTAAAGATTTCTTTTTTTCAGTGGTTTATTAACCTCAATCTCTAATTTTTCCATAGGCAGCCTCAGCTAATGTCTTCCTCAGCCATATAGACCAAGCAGTACTCCTTACTATTAGGTTTTTGGAAAAATCATGATGCATTTTTTGCACAGAAAAACATCACGACTTTTTCAACAACCTAATATAAGTCAGTTCACAACACTGAAATTAAAGTAAAAAAGAAAAAGCTATAGTCTTCCCACCTTTCTCAGAGTTATTTCTCTTCAGACAGAATTTACTTGGTTTCTAAACTTTTATGTTTTTAACTTTGAAGAAACCATTACCAGGGACTGGCAGGTCATGTGGTGGTTTAGGGTGCTGGACTCCCACATGGCCAACTGCGGTTTGAGTCCTGGACCTGGCAACTTGCATTCTCCCTTTCTTTCTCTCTTGTCCCTCTCTGGTCAAATAAAAATAAATAAATATCAATAAAGTTAAATAAAATAATTCTTAAAAAAAAAAAAAGAAAGAAAGAAACCATTACCAATACTCACAGCAAATACACAAAACATAAGAAATTCATTTTCATTTTTTAAAAAATACACTATGCTTATAACTAGATCAAATACCTTCGGTGGAAAGCCAGTTGAACCAGGACATCCTTTTTTCCTTAAAGTTGGTGTATGAACTGGAAGTGGAGTACAGTCTACAATCTGAACCCAGGAGCAAAAAAGAAATGTCATGAAACATTCTATTTCAAACAAAAGTAGAAAGAAACAAAATATCAACAAATAAGTTCTACATGTTAATAAAGAAAATTTTCAATGAAGCTAAAATTTTTGTAGTATTGATAATTTAAATTTCTACCTGTAATATCTACAAATAAAATACCTTATTTAATTATTGATAGTAAAAAAAATTTCGGTCTGGGAATTTAAAGATAATTTGGAAAAGAAAATCCACAGAGGAAAATAAAGTAACAGCACATAGCCTTCATACAAATGAGGATGTTCATATTGATCTGAATTCATCATATTAATTCTAAAAAGTATCTAAAAAAGCTTTTAGTGAGATTTATGATAAAAATATTTAGAAGATCCTTTTGACTATCTGACTTCTATATATAAAGTACATTATGTATATCTCCTTTAAGGATTTGAACACATAGAGATTGGGATTAGCAGGATTTCTGTGCAAAAATTATTTCCAAAGAGGGGAATTAGATTATTTAATATTATTACAATTTCAGAACTTAATATAAATTTAGTTACAAATCATATTATTATTATTAGCTATGTAAAATAAAATGTCCTTTGATTGGGTGTTACTGTAAAAATTGAATGAAAGGAACCAATAATTTTACTGAATGTTACTGGGCGGGGGGGAGAAATACTGCTTAATTACCAAAGAGTATGTGTGTTTGTGTGATATAAATAACTTTCTTTTGGGATGCTAAGTAAGCAAGAGAAGGAAAAAGCTAGTTCTTGTATAAAATTACAGAACACTTAAAAATATTAAAGAGAAAAACAGATGATCCCTTTTTACCTTTGTAAGTATCTAACCACCAAAAATAGATACTTTATATTAACTACATAGATTTAAAATGGAATTCAGTTGAGTTTTCTATTTAATTCTGAGCTTAGGTCTAATTTGAGCTTTATTTACTTTTAAACAACTTAAAAAGGTTTTGAAGACATCTTTAATTTAATATTTGAGAAGATAAATATGAATGATAAAAGACAATACTAAAATGCTATTTGAAAGTTAATAAAAAATTAACAAGAAACAAAATTATCATTGGAATTTATATAGGAAATCCAAGAGAAGTTATCAGAACGAAAGAGTCAAACAAGGGTGCTGGATACAAGATTAACAGAGTTTTTAAAGACCAACAATAGCCTAATAAGGAAATATATTTTGAAAGAATCTCAGTCACTGTGCAACCCAAAATTTAAGGTACCTAGGAAAAACTCTAACAAGCAATATGGAATACATCAAAAATAATAAAATGTAATTGAAGAATGTAAAATAATACCAAAAGTAATAACGTGTACCATGTTCATAGACAGAAATACTCAATTCCATGAAGATGTCAATTCACATCAAGTAAGTCTACAAATTAAATGCAATTCCAGTCAAAAGCCCCACATGGAACTTGATAAGCTGATCCTAAAGTAATATGGGAAACTAGAATAAAGAAGTAAAAGAAGATGGGTGGGAGTGGCTTAGCACAGCAGGTACCAGGAATTATTTTAGGGATATAATATTAAAATGATGTGGTGTCAGTGCAGGGATAACCAAAAGAGCAATGGAAGAAAACCCCCAGCAGGAGATTTGATTGTCCATACAGGAAAAAGAGATTAGAACCCATTTCCCATTATGCATAACAATAAATTTCAGATTGATGGAAGTCCTGAATATGTAAAAACAATTTTTTTAAACATTTATAAGAAAATACAGAAGACAATCTTTATAATTTCTGAGTAGGAAAGAACTGCTTTAAAAAGACACAAAAAGCAGAAGTCATAAAGAAAAAGATTGATAAATCTGACAACTTTAAAACGAAAACTTTTGCAAGACCAAAAAGAGACCACAAATAAAATTTAAAAATAAGCCACAGACTGGGACAAAATATTTGCAATGCATATGGCCAGCAAAGAATTACTATTCAAGATACATAAAGAATACTTAACGACAATAGGAAAACATAATGCGATGTCACAGTAGAACAAAAGACAAACACGCAAATCATTCATGGTCAATAAACCCAGCTAACACTAGGAAACAGAGAAATGCAAGTTAAAACAAAAAGGCCACTTCATACCCATCTAACTGGCAAAAGTTAATGTCTGACAGTACCAAAGGTTGGTGAGGATGTGGGGAAATGGGGAACTCTCACACATTGCTGGTGGGAGTTAAAATTGGTCCAACCACTGTGGAAAAGAATTTGAAAAGATCTAGTTAAACTTGAAAATGCTTATAAAATATAACCCAGTAATTTTTCTTCTAAGTACATATGCAAAATCAACTGCATTTTGCAAAAGCAGATTTTTTTTTTTTTAAAGAGAGAGATTTATTATAGAGCGTGTGCGCTCGCCAGAAAGACAGAAAGTCAGAAATCACTTCCCAGAGAGGAGGGCCACCCTGCAATCCCTCCTCCTCCATTCTCTTCTCAGGATCTTGAGCATGCACGCACATGTACTTGGCGTGAGTTTTAAGCTGCTGGGTCCGGGACTCAGACCATGGTTGACTAACGTGCGAGTCCAGCAACATAACCATTACACCATCTGCTGGTCCCAAAAGCAGATAGATACCAAGATGTTCACTTCTGCAACAGTAGGAGAATGAATAAATAGCTGTGATATATTTACACAATGAAACACTATACAGTTGTCATAATGAATGAACTAAGTTGACATGTATCTGTATGAATAAATCTCAAAAAGCATACTTTCAAATGAAAAAGAAGGATACAATAACATTTGTGTAAATTTTAAATATGTGATATGCACTACTATATATTATTTATGGATACAAGTGAAATAAACATGTAAAACCAAGGAAGGGATAGTGTACTCTAGGGTTCAGATATTTAAAAATGTCTGAGAAAGAGATAAGAGAATGATATAGGGGAGAACAGTTCTATCTGCTTCTGCAATATTTTATATATTTGAACAAAAATCTAGAAAAAAATAAGACAATATGTTCATATTTGTTAAAATCTCTGTGTGAAGTTTACATGAGTATTTATTATATTATCCTCTATTTTATCATTAAAATTTAAAAATATAAACTCCAAAAGATTAAAACAATTATAACTAAAACAACGTAAGGTCTCATTAACTTAACCAGTCTGAGGGAATCTGTTACAGGGCTGGAAAAAAAACAAGTCAGTATCTCACTACAACTCATACTTCACTGCAGATAGCTGTTTAGACTGGATTATCTATTTCTGTTAGAATGCTAGACACAATCCCAGAGATTTTGAGATTGGTAGCAAAGGAGCACTGTGTAAACTGCAACCCTCAGTGAACAACCAGAACTGCATCTTGAGGTACAACACGTTCTTTGAACTTGTGCAGGAAATGATGTGCTGTGAAAATGGGCCAGGTGGCAATTTAAAACCACTGACTGACATGAAATGTAAACATAACAGTTTTTAATACTATAAAAAAAGTGCGATTCAGTTGAATGCCTGTTGATGATTTAGTAGTTAGAATAAACTATTCAGTGGTGATTTTATGTATTTACTCTTTTTAGACAAATTTTTGCAATAAGGCATGTGCACTCAACAGAGAGAGAGAGAGAGAGATGAAATGAGAAATCATCTCTTAGGAGGGATGGCCATGCTGTAATCCCTTCTCCATTCTTTTAGGATTTTGGGCACACAGCATGTGTGCCTGGCATGAGTTTTAAGCCACTGGGTTCAGGAATCGAACCGCAGTCAACAATGTGGGAATCCAGTGACATAACCATTATGCCATCTGCTGGTCCCATCAGTGGTGATTTTTTTTTTTTTTCAGATTTACTTACAATGTAAATAGCTATAGGTGGACTTATTAAATTTATTAGAAGAATTAAAACATGAAAATGGCACTTGCACTGCCATGTGACTAAAGAGTCTGTATCTGACCATCCAAAATTTATGTAACTATAGAGTTTTCTATTAAAATGAAGACCATCTTTACAGTTAAACTTTTTGGATTAAATTTTAGGAGACAATCTCCTACTTTAGTTTTCTACTCCTATCTACATCACCAGTTAAATGGAATGCTCTGCAATAGACTGTGACTTATTATGCAATATTTTTGGTTAAGAGGAAAAAAAATTTCACTTTTTTTTTTAATTCCCTCATTCCTGACACAAGTGAACAGTTGAGGAGCACAGCTGCTCCAATGAGGCACCTTAACTGGCTCAGCTTCACTAGATGTGGAAGGAGATGTGGACCTTGACTGGATGTAAAACTTGACGCTCGGATTCCGTACATATGTGTTCTCAACGGGATCAGTCTAGGAAAATAAGTCAGGAAAAATAAAAACCCAACAAATCAATTTTAAACAATGTGCAGCTCTTTACAAATTCCTTTAAGGCATAATCATGACAATGTTTCTTGAGAAAGGAGGATAATAAACTTTAGTTTAAATATTCACATTAGGGATGTGTCATACAAAAACATAAAACTGCTAGCTTTAATATAAATAAGGATTAAGATAACAATAGTTAACAAAAGGCTCCTCCCCAATCTTAATCTTACTTTGAATACTGGCCTCTACCATGTGTCCTGTATCTGTACTCCACATGGAACTTTGGTATATGAAAAAAATGTAGAGCATTTTTTAATAGAGACATATAAACTGCAAATTAAGTTTGTCCTTGATGACAATGAAATCTGGTCTTCAACTATGCATTCACTGGAAGGAAAAGAAACTAACACTGTGCTTGTCACTAAAGTAAAATCCTCTTCTTATTTTGTAGCAATAGAAATACCAGCACTTAAATTCAGTTACACTCTTTTTAGAAACTGAAAATGCTTTTGGTTCAACTATAGCATAACAGACCTTATGAAACACACAGAGTGATGATCTAGTCAGTTCAGCAATTTTCAAAATCATGAGAAATTAGTTTTTAAAATGAAAGGCAATGAAGGCAATTTGGAAGGGTTAGGGAACCTGCTTTTAATATGTTGTACAACAAGAATCATGCTTACATCAGAAGTTACAAACCCATCCAAAAAAAGAGCATCAGCTGAAGGATTTTAAATACATACTTAAAATTATTTTTATTATTATTATGGTTGCTATTTTAAGGGGAAGACATGATGACAGATAACATATCCCTTAGAACTGCCGCTGATGAAAGATTTGGATATATTCATAACAATGTTTTGATAAAGTGGAATGATTAGAACTGATTAATAATGATCTTTGTACTTGGAATAAAGTGAATAAATAATATCTTTAAAAGTATGTGCTGAACAATAAACGAGAGAGATACTTGGTGGGAAAAAGGTTTCCCTAGAAATGAACTTTTTAGCTCTGTTCTCAGCTCAACAGAACTTTGGGCACATGGCTTCAGTATCTGAGTACAGAAATTATTTTCTTGAGTTGGGGATATTTTCCCATTTACCATTAAGGTAGAATACCACTATGAACTTAGGATATGTTGCATATGTAAAAAAGTCACCATGTGCTCAACATGGAGAATTTTTGGAAAATGTGGCAACTATGTAGAACAGACAGGCAAGCGGGCTGATAAACACTACAGAAACCCTTTACTGATGCCCACTACAGCCTGCCAGCATAGCGCTTATGAGCAGGTATTCCAGCAATCCACAAGGCAAGGTTTTGGCAGGGCTGACCAACATCGCCATCATGAGGCCTTAAACTCGGAGTTACTGAATTTGAGACAGGTGGGCAGATGGAGGGCTCAGTGAGGCCACCTAGTAGACCTGGAGCAATGTATGTCACAGTTACCAACTGCTAGGAAAGTATCTAAATATTGTAAAAACCGCAACTACTAAAATGAAGCTTACCAGCTGGGGATAGTCCTGTATGTATAATGTGGACGACTGAATAAAAATTATCATGCCCTGAGAAGCTGGACAGCCAGGCCTGAATCTCATCTCTTGACTGAAAATTTAGGTCCCCTTTTGATGTATCACAGTATCTCCAGAACAGAGGTACTCAAAGTAATTTAATGATCACGGAGGCCAAGTTACATTATCTCCTTTCCTGACAGTAAATTTTATTATTTTTTGTCTTAGTTCTCAAACATTCAGTTTAGTCCCAATTTTCAGAACTCACTTGTAAGAGGCATTATGAAACCATTAGTTAATGGACCCCAACTGTGCCAAACTGAGAAGTCTAAATACAGAAAACTATTTGGACTTTTTTTTTTTTAATGTTAAGTTTACATTTAATTTGCTCTATTTTACAACATTAAAAAATAAAAAAGGAGTAAAAGGAAAGCTAGAGAGATTAAAGAGTGACTCAGTAATCAAACATTTTTGTCCCAGAGGACAAAAGATAAAACTTTACTTAAGTTTCTCCTCTCCAAGGAGAGAAGAATAAAACAATGGGACTCAACACAAATTTTGCCCACTTTACAATTTCATTAAGCTATGGAGAGGTTTACATTACTAATCAGAAATATAATCCTTTGGTTAGGACTAAGGTAGAAACATCTTTTATTAACTAAAACCCTCTTCCTTCTAGTTTTCATAAGATTTATATAAATTGCAAGGTGAGTAGGTATCTATGTGAAAGAGGGTTCAACTAAAATGGAATTGATAAAGCAGTAGCAATATATTTTACACGAGGAAGAAATTAAAACTGACACAAATAATCATAAGTTTTAAAGAAGTGTCCAGTAGAGGATTTGTTAAGAGTAAAACACAGACATTTTAAGAAAACTCAAGAGTTTCTAACCCATCACAAAAGCAGTTAGCCCTGCAGCTTTACTGAAAGACAAAATGACAGGATTCTGTGCGAAAAGCAATGCTGTTAATAGACTGAATAGTTAATGTAACTTTCATACCTCTGCGTCCAATTACTTTTATTTTTTCAAATAATTATTTCTTTAATGTTATTTATCGTTATTATTTTTTAATTTGACCAGAGAGAGAAAGGGAAAGTGAGAAAGTAAGTCGCCAGGTTCAGGAGTTGAACTACTTGAACTTGAAGTCCAGGACTTCAGCCATGTGGGAGTCTAGCACCTTAACCACTATACCACCTACTGGACCCCCCAATTACATTTAAAACTCTTTAGAAAGGAAGAAAGAGCTTGAAACACCTAATAGCACTGGCTGAAATTCTATAGCAGGCCTGCCCTTTGTAAACACCAGCTGATCAAAGTTGAACATACTGTTTTATTTACACTTTCTTACATGGAGATTAGAATGTGCTGCCTTAAAGACTAGCTGATGGTGTGGTGGTTAAGGCAGCTGGAAACCACATGGCCAACAGTGTGGCTCCAGTTCTGGACCCAGAGGCTTGAGAAACACTCTGGGCACATGTGCACATGTGCTCAAAATCCTGAAAGGTTAATGGAGAAGAGACTGTGGCACAGCCATCCTCCATAAGGGGATGCTTTCTCACTTTCTCTATCTCCAGCAAGTGCATGTACTTTCTAGCAAATAAAAAAAAAAAAAAAAAAGAAAGAAAAAATACAGAAAGAAAGGAAGAAAAGAAAAGAAAACGGAATATGCTGCCTTATACCACAGGTCTAATATAACTAAGCAAGAGGTCTAATGAGAGGTTTACATGATGTAATCAGCAAACCTAAATCAGCAGTACATCCCCAGTCCCGGGGCTGATTGTTAAAATATTTACCAGCATGTAAATATTGGTGACTGTGCAAAAGTAGGATACTGGAGAAAAGAAAAATACCTCCCCTCTCCACAGTTTAATCTGTGATTACACAAAGTAGTGACTATTAAAGGACTTCGGAGGTTTTTAACATACACCTCTTGAGCCATCTGAAAATCTGTTGTTTGTTAAAGTCTTTTTCTCCTAACAAGTTTTTTTTCTTTTTTCTTTTTACTTTAAGTTGACATATGGTAACTAAATTAGCTAGCTTTTGCTCATTGATAAAAATGAAAGAAAATAACGGGAATGAGGACACACCTTTTACTATTAAAGGACTTCGGAGGTTTTTAACATACACCTCTTGAGCCATCTGAAAATCTGTTGTTTGTTAAAGTCTTTTTCTCCTAACAAGTTTTTTTTCTTTTTTCTTTTTACTTTAAGTTGACATATGGTAACTAAATTAGCTAGCTTTTGCTCATTGATAAAAATGAAAGAAAATAACGGGAATGAGGACACACCTTTTTTTTTTTTTTTAATTATTTCTTAGTAAAACAGTAAAAGCTGGTTATTCAGAAGTAGAAAATAATTAAACTCAGAAAGATAAACCAACATTAATTGTAATAAAATAGAATAATGAGGATTACCATACTATCAGGTCATCAGAAAAGTCATAACAGGGAACCAGCAGTTAGTGTAATGGCTATGTCGCTGGACTCCCACGTAGTCGACCACGGTTCACATCCCAGACCCGGTGGCTTAAAACTCACGTCAGGCGCGTGTGCGTGCGTGCCCAAGATCCCGAGAGGAGAATGGAGGAGAAGGGATTGCGGCGTGACCATCCCCCCTGGGGGGTGATTTCTCGCTTTCTGTTTCTCTGTCTGTCTGTCTGGCAAGCGCACGCACCTTATAGCGAAAACCTCTCCAAAAAAAACAAAAAAAAAGAAAAAGTCATAATGTATTTTTCTATGCAAAAATGAGTCATGACTTTTCCGATGACAAAACAGATTTTTTTTTTTTTTACTGTTGATTGTTTTTGTTTTGTTTTGTTTTTTGGAGAGGTTTTTGCTATAGGGCATGTGCGCTCACCAGAGAGAGAGAAAGAGAGAGACACAAAGCAAGAAATCACTCCCCAGGGGGGATGGCCACAACACAATCCCTCTTCTCCACTCTCCTTGGGATCTTGGGCATGCATGCACACACACCCAGCATGAGTTTAAGCTACCAGGTCCCAAACCCAAACCGCGGTTGACTACATGGGAGTTCAGCGACATAGCCATTACACTAACTGCTGGTGCCGACAAAATAGTTTTTTTTGGTTTTTTTTTTTTGTTTTTCTTTTTTCTTTTTTTTTTTGAGAGAGATTTTCGCTACAGGTCCCAACAAAATAGATTTTTAGAGCTGTATTCTTTTACAGTTAAAATCAATTTTAGAGATTAAATAAAAACAAAGGAATTTTCCTTTTACAAAAAAATTAAAAGAGAAAATGTTTAAATATTCTAAGACTGTATTAACTGAGCACATTAAAGAGTTGAATTATGCCATATATAAAGATATACTTTATTTTTAACATATGACTGAAGTTTTAAAAGTTACCACTTTACTTTCCAAAAATGTGGAATACATAAATACATAAATATTGTCTTCTTACAAAAACAAGGACAGGTGGCTTGGTGGTTAAAGTGCTCAACTCCCGTATGGCTGATTGTGGTTTGAGTCCCAGACCTGGGCTTGAAAATGACTCCAGGCACATGTGTATGGGTGCCCTAAATCCCAGGAGGCTAATGAAAGAGAAGGGATCACACCATGGTCATTCCCCCTCCCCGGGGGCTGGGGGGACTGATTTTCTTACGTTCCCTCTCACTATCTCTCTCAGCCTCTCTATGGTGAGTATATGCCCCCTATGGCAAAATCCTGGGGAGGAGGGAGGAGACAGAGCTTAGTAAAGATGAGTAAACTCATGGAAAAATTTCTTGAATATCAAACTAAAAAAAAAAAAAATTCAGGTCTTTTAAAATATTCTACTACAAGCTAATAACATTTAAAGATTTTAATATTTTATTTGCTTTCTGATTTACTGCCAGTGTAAACAATATCCTAAAAGTGATTTAATCCTGGGGAGGAGGGAGGAGACAGAGCTTAGTAAAGATGAGTAAACTCATGGAAAAATTTCTTGAATATCAAACTAAAAAAAAAAAAAATTCAGGTCTTTTAAAATATTCTACTACAAGCTAATAACATTTAAAGATTTTAATATTTTATTTGCTTTCTGATTTACTGCCAGTGTAAACAATATCCTAAAAGTGATTTAAAGCTAAAATATATATATATATATATATATATTTAAAGTTGTTATAAACAGAAGGATTGTAGTTTTCAAGATGTTCTTTTTTTTTTTTTCTTTTTAAGAGATAGACTTTGGCCATAGAGCACATGCGCTCGCCAGACAGACAGAGACAGCAAGAAATCACCCCCCAGGGGGTATGGCCATGCCACAATCCCTTCTCCTTCATTCTCCTCTTGAGGTTTTGGACGGACACACACACACACACACACACACACACACACACACACGCCCAGCAGGAGTTTTAAGCCACTGGATTCAAACCACAGTCAACTATGTGGGAGTCCAGTGACATAGCCATCATGCTGTTCTCTGGTCCTGATGTTATCCATTTTAACTATAATTGTTTACAAATGCATTTATAATAAATGGCTTATTTTATTCACTAAAAGGTCAATTCCCTTAAACTTTCAGAATATTCTATGACTATTTGCCAAGATTTAAAGATAGCCTAACATTAATTTTAATAATTAATTGGCAGTGATTCAGATATAGGATGGCAGCAAAACAACTAGTTAATAGCATCAGTTATTTTTATACAAAATATTTAAAAATTTTAAAAGCTAAAGATTAGTATTATACTTAAACTATGGAAATTTAAAAGTTCTTTGTATCATAAAATATACAGCTTTAAGTATAAGTGATGAATTAAATTAATAATGCAGCAAAAACTAATAAATGTATTATCAGTAACAGATATCTTAATTCAGTAACTAGGTTTGTGTTTATATAAAGAATATTAAAATGAGAAACTAGTAAGAAGAATAAATAGCTATCTATTGCACAGAATAATTTGATATTATCTGAAGAAAGAAATCTTAACTGAACAGTGTAACCAATTCATTTAATATTTCTGGGAAATATTAATAATAATTATTAATAATCCACTGAGAAAAATAAATAAGGCATCCTTATGTAAAATCCAATTAATATCCTATTTTTTGGCTAACAAACTTTTTTCTAAGTAAACACAGTTTAAGAAATTATTCTGAAAATATGCATTAGAAATATCTACTATACTGCGGTGTCATTTTGTATTAATGATTTACTATTTGAAAAGAAAAGACAGAAAACCATTATAGTATATAGTCCAAACTACATAACACTGTCATGCAAGTCCATAATGTTCTCTAAATCTGTTATGGGTTTTCTAATAAATAATCCTCAAAAATTTTTTTTTAGTAAAACAGAAAAGTTTTTAAAATTTTCTTTCTAGGATCAGGCAACTAATTTTCAGATGACCCACTTATCAATAATTCCTTAAATTATGCAACATTGGGGCCAGCAGGTGGCATAGCAGTTAAGGTGCTGGACTCCCACATGGCTGACCACAGTTCGAGACCTGGACCCAGGACACTGGGCATGTGTGTGTGAATGACCAAAAATCACAGGAGGAGAATGGAAGAGAAGGGATTGCGGCATAGCCGCAATCACCCCCTGGGGGGTGTGATTTCTCCCTTCCTCTCTCATTGTGTCTCTCTGTCTCTCTCCCCTGAGTGCATGTGCCCTACAGCAAAATCTTTAAAAAATTATGCAGTATTGTCTTCCTATAAATAAAAACTAAAATTACTCATCTTGAATGTGTATCAATGAGCCTTTTATACCCTCCTCCAATAATGACAAATTTCTACAAGTAGCAACATTCTGTAAGAACTCTTATTTTAAAGTAAAACATTTAAAGTTGACTATAAAAAGTGGCTTATATGTAGAATATCATTTGTATTGTTGAATATAAAATTCTAAGTTAACAGAAAGGAATCCACTTTCTATCAGTTTTCTTTTTTTCTCCTTTTTAATTGGTATAGGGGATGTGTGCTCACCAGAGAAAGATGTAAAGAGAGGGATAGTGAGAAATCGCCCCCCAGAGGGGATGGCCATGACACAGTCCATTCTCCTCTCAGGGTTTTGGGTGCACGTGCACACGTACCCAGCATGTTTCTAAGGCTGCCGAGTCCTGAACTCAATCCATACCATTGGCCATAATACCCTCTCTCACTTTCCCCTCAAATTTCTGGACGCACACACATACACTCAGTGTCTCTAAAGTCACGGGGTCTAGGCTCAAACTCCACAATTAGCCATGTGGGATCCAGCCATCCCGACCTCTGCACAACCTGCTGACCCTCACTTTTCTTTATCTTTCAGCTTCAAGTATTTTGGAAACAAAGTAGTAAATCATCCAATATTTTGTATTCAGAACACTTATAACCTTAGACTTCTAGTGATAGGATTTTTTTTTCAATTCAGCTTATGACAAAAAAAAAAACAAAAACCCACAGTATTACAGAATTACTGTGTCATTTGGAAAAAAGTAAATATTGCAAAATAAATTATAACAAAATTACTGAAGGTTATAACAAGTAAATATAATATTACTAGTCTCAAATAATGCAATTTTATTTCTCTTTATAAAAATGTCTCAAGTCATTTGAAAACGTATATTGATTTGAATATTACTACCATGTCCTTCAAAAAATTTTCCTTTTTTCAATATTCACAGAGATGGCCTAGGTTAAAAATCTGGTCAATTCATAGGCTGATGATTTGAATTAAAGATAATTGACACACATTTTAGTTTTCTATTCTATAAGTCATAAGATATAATGAACAGACACTCAGATTAATTTGATAAGTCCAATATCTAACGGTTTTAATTCTCAACAAATTTTTAAATAATCAAGAACTCAGTGGAGCCAACAATCTTTTTCATAAACCTCAACAGTTAATGAGACATAAGTTGAGTCCATAGTTCTACTGTCCTAACTCTGAACTGCTAATTTATTATATGGTATGCTTAAAATGTATGAGTGTCATTCATGTTTATTTCACAACAAACCCTCAATCATGCCAGAAAATAAGAGAGTGGGAAGCAGTGGGCCACCCTACTACTTCCCATGACCTCTAAAAATCAGAGAATTCCCTGATCTAAAACTTTTCAAGTCCAAGAATTCTGGACTTAAAGTACTAATCAACTTCAATGGTCATAAAGCTGGCAGACAAACGTTTAAAAATTGTATCTATCATTGACTTCCCCTTTTAATGTTACTATTTTACACAGAATATAAAATTCCAAATAAACAATATCAGCTAGCCTATTGCTTTTCAACTGGACCTATGTACATATATATGTAACCAATGGGACAGAGGATAGATTAGAAAAATTTCAGATCTTTCCACATACAGACTCCCAAAGAATAGGGATAGCAGCTGACCCATTTCGGGCTGAGACACACAGAGCCAGCATTAGAATAGGAAGATGTCTACAATTTGTTAATAATGCAGATATAAAGAATGTTACAGATAGTTTTTTAAATCCTAGAATTATCTGAGAATATAAAAGATTTATTATTAACACTGTGTTCTCAAATCTATACATATAAGATATTTAGGGAGATTCCTCTGAACTATAGAAAACAAACAAAACAAACAAACAAAAAACACCACTCTCCTAAAATATCAAAAAAGCAAAACAAACCAAAAAACCTCTCAATATTTCTCCAGAATTGACTTATGTAAAACTGAAGTCAGTAAGATCTGTAACTTGGATGTCATGCAATATGAATTATCAAGCTGTCTTTCTGCATGATTAAAATCTCTAAGAAATCTCTACGTATTTGCTTCTATTAGAGTCTAGCTTAGAAACTCATTTACTTTGTATCTGGAAAGCATACTTTAGGATTGCTTTTTCCATCCAATAAAAACAAAAAAGGTATTGCTTTAGCAGTTTGGTTAGAAATTTAAATGAACATTCCTAAAGCTTGCGGCCAAAGCCAAAAATATAAAAATAAATAATACAGAAAAGCAGAGTAGCAATAGCAGGAGCAGCAGCACAGAGCATGCAATACATGTAGTAATACATCACAAAAACATTAACATGTTCTGCAACCACAGGCAAAAGGGTAAGAGAGGGGTTAAAGGTATCAGGATGAGGACACAAAGTATAACAGTCTCTTACACGTCTGCCTTTGCTAGCTGGAGTACAGGATGGAGAGCGCTTCAACAGAGAAAGGAGAATACTACATGTTACAAATATTTACACATATTAACACTCTCAGTGAGTGATACTGTATTAACAGACAAAGAATATAAACATGTATACAAAGCCACATTTTTGGATAGGTCAAAAGTATACCCATTCTGAAAAAACAGAGGAAGGACAGTAAAGAAACAGTTGATCAAACTAAGATTAATAAAGTTTTCATTGGTCCATGCATAGTAACCCACATGATAACGCTCAAGTGATGAACAATTTTTTTTTTCTGGGATCAACAGTGGTAAACAGAAACATATGACAACAAAAAGGATCTAAATCATTCTGATTTAGTGCTAAAAGCATTATATATTTAATGAACTAGACTTGCCTTAGACTATTATCTACCAAATTCCTACTCTTTTCAAAGATAATTATTTTAAATTAGAGCTAAATAGGAAATTTGTAATTATTGATAATGAACTAAAAGAAAAATGATACACTACATCGTAACCAGCTTTAGGCTTAGTCAAAAGAGCGACTTTCACCTTTCTGACATTAATGAACTAACGAGATGCAAGTAGTAATTAACTTAAAATATTTTTCAAGTTTTTGAAACTCTGTAAAGTTCAAGCAGTAGAGCTTCACAAATAGGAACTATATCTATTTAGGCAATTTCCTAAATTCAGTTTGACCCAACATTTATTCAGAGTTTATAATCCACTGGGCACTGTGCTGACTCTATAAGGGGTTAAAAGATAATAAGACATAGGAGTTCACAGACCGGTAGAGAAGACATCATGGCAGAAACAATGTGTAACGAATGCTAACAGAGAATTACACACGCTTATATGGGCATCTAAAGGAGAGATGTACAAGATTTATTATGACGACCTAGGGAAGGGAATTTATAGACTGATCTATAGGTGTTAAAAGGAGATTTCAGAGAAAAATGAAAATTTTCAGGATGAGAAATACCATTCAATATTATCAATTTTATTGTTATAACAATTCTGGCAAATAGGTAAATAGGAACTACTAATGATATTTCTTCCTATAGGAAACTGGAAAGGAAGGTGACTTAAACACTGTGTCCCAAAGAATTAATAGCAAACTAGGATTAGAAGTCTTCTAGAATTCTAAACAAGTTTTGTCTCTTAATCTAATCAGTCTTGCATTGTGGAGCTCAAGTCTCAGTTTACTTTTTCTAAGTTATTAATAGGAAGCCCCTCTCTCTTTCCTTCTCAACCGATAAACTTTACAGATAAACAATAAACAAATCAACTCAATCCTTCTTCTAGCTATTATTTAGTTTCACTCCTCTTCCTTAATAGTCCTAACAGTTAACATTTAGTGTGCTGAGTATATGCAGCAACTTCTCAAAGCACTTTATATGGAAAAACTAATTCTCATAGAAATCCTATAGGTAGGTATTATGCTTCTTATTTTAAAGATGAAGAAAGCAACCTTCATAAGGTAATAAAGCAAATAAATGGTAAAGCTAGTCTTCTCAGTCAGACTTTCCCAAAATTGATACTCAGTAATTTTCTATACGTTCTAATTTTCCAATTCACTTCTCAATATACAATTGGCTTCTCATGTTATCAATCTTAATATTGACAAGATCAGTATTTTCTCTGTAGTCCTGGAGGCTACTGAATACATTTCCATCTTAGTTTTTGTGACAGGATAATTTTTTATTTTAATGAAATTAATTTCCAGGTATCTTATTCTATATTTGTTCTTCCCTTCTATCCTTTCTCTTCTTTTCCTTCCCTCCCTCTCTCTCTCCCTTCCTTCCATATGCCAGAGTATGTGTGTGCTTTACTGAGAGAGATAGAGGGAGAGAACATTCCATAACATTCCATGTGTGGTCACATTACTAACTCTTCTTTATTTCTCCATCCTGTTGGGATTCTGGGTACACATGCAAAAGCACCTGGATTATTTTTCAAGTCGTTGGCCAGGGTGAAAACTACAGGTGGGCCACGTGAGATCCAGCCCCCTTAATCTATCATATAGGAATATCTTACCCAAAAGAACACTCAGCAAAGTGGTCTAAATATCTTTTAAAATGAACTCAAACACTCCTTTTGTTAAATGTTTTCTAAGGTTTTTTCTTTTTCTCCTTTAAGCATCTATTTCCACATGTAGGAAGGCCAAATACCTATGTCCTCCTAGGTTACAGAAACAGAGTTGGGATGTATTCTGCTTCTCCTGGTGTGCTCCTCTCATTTTCCTAGAGGGAGTGAGTGGTTTTAAGTGTACCACTGCTCTTCTGTAAAGGCTATTCCTACACACAAGAGTTGACGGCACAATGTGACAAAGAAGTAAAGCAGCCTGCTCTGAGGATCTTCCCATGTTCCCAAAAATTCCAGCATTTGCACTTTGAATTAATAGGCAAAATAAGCTAGAGAAAATTAAGGGTGAGAGAATGATTGTGTGTACTGTTTTAAATAAAGGAATTACAGTTTTAATAGGCCTGAATAAGAGGTAAAAGTAGGAGAAAAGCAGAAGGTGATTTAGGAGGAGAGGGACTCCTGGCAAAACTTTGGGAAATTAAAGGGCAGCACGAGGACACTAGGCTTCTGTGGGCAGAGGGAGCTCAGCCACAGGTAGACACTTGATTTCTGCAATTTTGCTTAATGTTAGATTTATTCACCCTACACCTACAAGTTCTAGCTGCAATTTAAACATTAGGTCTTCAACGTAATCTTTCCTATGGCAATGAGACTGAAGACAGAAAAAAAGAAATAACCAGAGGATGTGTATTATGGGTTAAGCATTAATCTACTCTCTACCGAGGGAGGCCACATATTATTATAGGTATTGTGCAACAACAGGACTAGATTTGGTACAAAAGACAATCAAGGTTTCATTTGTGCCTTAAGAATCCAAATCATTAACAGAAAGGAAGCTACAGAACTTGACTTAAAAAAAAAACATTTAATTTTATTTATCATCATTATTATTTTTTTAATTTGCTATAGGGCACACATGCTCACCAGAGAGAGAGAGAGAGTAAGAGAGGGAAAGTAGAAAGCAAGCTGCCAAGTCCAAGACCCAAACTGCAGCTGGCCATCTGGGAGTCCAGCACCTTAACCACCTTAACCTCCTGGCCCCTCAGAACTTTGCTTTCATATTAAATATCTTGGATGTAGAATGCAAGCATGCCAAAGATAGAATAGCATCAGCCAAAACACCATTCTAATAAGACTTTGGGGATAAAATGAACAAATAATAACTCTGGGAAGGGGGGGGTATCACAGTTATGAACTACAAAGAGGTCTGTACCAGAAAACATAAATTAAGAATATAAAATTTTTTTAAAAAGGAGCTTACTGCTAGTCATCCCATGACAGATAAGAATCATTTTCCAATGAGAAAGTGATTTGACAATTCTAAAGAAAATTATAGATTCATATACGCGGTGGGCAGAAAGATGAGTGGTGAAAGGTTAAGAAGCACATCTAAGTGAAACCAAATTGATGGATAGGAAAGGCAACTTTAAAGAGAATACAGGAAGGGAGGGGGGCCAGCTTATTAAGAGTAAGGAAATAACAAGTACTACGGAGTGCATTACATATATTGTCTCTTTAAATCTTCAAACAATCTTATGGGATTAATATGACTGTTAGTATTTCTATCTGTTAGATAAGCAAACTGAGGCACAGAAAGGTTAGATAAATTCCTCCAAACCATATAGAAAATGGTATAGGCAGAATTCGAGTCATTAACATGCTGCAATAAACTGGCACAATGAAGCTTAGAAAGCAAGAAAATAAGGGGAAAATCATGCCTTTTGAAAGCTCAAGTACAAATCATAAAGATTCAGTAGCTTTTGTTAACTCCTTTTTACTTTATACTAGGAATTCCTTTGTACTACTAAAAATTGCAGTTGTTATATTTTGAGCTTGCACTGTACATATTAGTGGGGGAAGAATAAGGAAAGATACTTCTGGAGAAAAGGTAACAGCAGGAAATGGCTGAAACGTAGATGCCCAGTCATTACTGCCAGGTGGCGGCAGTGGCAGAGTCCTGTGAGAACAGAAACGAGGCAGGGTCCTGGTTGAGGTGTGCACTTCTGCAGAATCTTCTGCTAAAAAGAACTAATTCATCACTAAAATGCATACTGTTCCTATGTTTTAGACTCAAAGTCTTTCTGTGAGATCAAAGTGGACAGAGTTTCTTTGAAAGAAAAATGGAAATGTTTTTCTAGTGTTAAAAACAACTGAAATAATCTACTCAAACTTCCTTCCCATTTTTTTTAAGGTGAACGATACCTATAGGAAAATGCCACACTCAGTATTTTAATATACTGTGTGCAAATGATACATATAATAACCCTTGTACATCAAAAGAGTTCTCTTTTTATCATACTATAGAATTAACCAGAAGAAAAACTAAAGGCTTATTTTATTTATTTCATATAAAAGACAGACAGACAAGTGCCCTTGATAGATGGCAATCCCCCCTCCCACATTCAGTCGTCCAGCCAGCCAGGATCATGAGTGCACCACATGTGCCTGGAATGCTCAAGTCACCCTGGGACCCAAACCCCTGGTCTTCCACATGGTTTCTATCATTACAGAGAGATACCCTACCACCTGGACCACCATGGCTGGGCCTACCAGAATTCTCTGTTTCAAGAATAATAGAATACTTTCTATTTAGAATGGAAAGATGCATACTTTGGTATAAGCACTTTTGACTATCAAAAAATACTTTTGTGAAGTAATTTTAAAAAATTCTGTGTCGGATGATACATATGAAACCCTTGTACATCAAGAAAGTCCTCTTTTTGTCACACTACAGAATTAACCAGAAGAAAAACTTAAGGCTTATTTTATTTCATATGAAAGATAGACAGATCAAGAATTTTCTTTCATGAAAAATTATGCTAACCATTCTTTTGAATGTAAGTATTCTAACAAATATAAGGAATAAAACATTTAAAGAATTTTCTATGATTTTAAGAACAGTCCTACACACAGTATTTGCCCATTTTATTCCCTCATTTCTAAAAAGACTAAATGTTCAACAGGATAACAAAATGATTCACAACAAAGATTACTGTGCCATTCAAAGTGGAATAGAGAGAATAAATATGGCAGGCAGTACTGTAAAAAAATTACACATTTACTAGGAAATTCTAAATAATCAAATCTATCGAATTCAGAAGAAAAAATGATAGTGAATTTACAGTGCATATAGTACAACTGAAATAATCTACTCAAACTTCCTTCCCATCTTTTTAAAATCACTTTCTATACGAGAAAACAAATTCTGTCAGCATTAAAAAATATTTGTATTCTGTTATGATAAAAATCTACTAGAGAATTTAAAATGTCACCTTTTCTGATTATACTACCAGAGACTTGTTTGTTTATTCATTAATTTTTTTAGGTTTTTGTCACAGGGCACATACGCCCTGTGACAAAAACCTAAAGAAGGAAAGTGAAAAATCACTTTGTAGGAGGAAATAACCATGTTATATCCCTTTTCCTCCATTCTCCGCTCAAGATTTTGGGCATGCACACACATGTACTTGGCATGACTTTCAAGTCGCCAGGTCTGGGATTTGAACCATGGTCAGCCATGAGAGAGTCCAGCACTTTAATCACTATACTACCCGCTGACTCCCAGAGGCTTATTTTTAACTAATATAGAAATTAAAGAGTAAAGTGCTAAAAATAAAAGAGGAAAGTAAAATTGAAATCACCATGAAAAATAAAAATGAGCAATTTGTATACATAGTGACAATAAAGCATAAGTACTCTAGTCCTAAGAATTCTTGCAAAGAATAGAAATACAGAGAGTACCTGATCACCAAAGCATTTTTCAAAACATATTTTATTACATGTAACCATGATAAACCCTTTGTTATATTTAAGATTAAAAAAGAAGCATATTTTGGCCCACAGATATATTTCCAAGTGTGTTATTTCTAAAACTGACTGCATTACTAGGCAAATTCTTCATATCAATTCACTGATCTCTTTTACTGAAGGATGCATTGGTTTGAAAATCAAAGACTTACGTCATCCAAAAAATCAATCAGTGAAGATGAGGAAGAAGAAAAGGAATCCTATTTAACGAATACAGCAATAAAAAAATAGAAAATATGGATGAAGCAATTTATAAGAACAAATAATAAATCAAAAATTTTTGTAAAACAATTGAAAGGCAAATGACATTAATTCAAATAAATCAATGAGAAAAGCAGTCACTGTTACTGTTCTCAAGAAACTCAAGAGACTCATTACTTTTAAGAGTGATTCTTTTTCCGTTTTCCAAAAGAATGAAATACAATTCACATGTTATGCCTAAAATGGGTGACAAGTCATTAATAATCAAATTAAATGTAGGCATTTTAGAAGATAACAATTAAAATTAAGCAACAGAATCTCTGTTTCTAATTCTTCCCACTAGATTACAAACTCTGAGTGATGAGTTTCATCTATTTTGGTAAGTATTATATCTCCAGTACTTAGAACAGTGCCTTATACACAGATACATAATTATTATGTATTAAATAAAGATAAAATCTAAAACTTAGATTTCCCGAGACAAAAACATACTTTATAACCTGAAACTGGTTTTCCAGCAAAGAACTTAAACACCAAGAAATGACAAAGAATTATATAATCAATATTGTAGAAACTGCCTAACACTGTCCATACAGTTATACTTTTAACAGTATACGTTTTGTAAATAAATGAATTGATTTGGAAGAGAATTGTATTACCCTATTGTAAAATTTGACATTATCACTTGAGGTTTTTTTTTTTGTTTCTTTTTAGTTATATAGCTCTATGCTTTGGAGAAAAAAGAAAAGCCAAACTTATTTCAAAAGTTGGGATCTGTTCTGCTCTTATTCTTAAGGGAGAGGAAAATGCTTTTAAAGCTTAAGACTTGTGTTTAGACTTTTCTTTGTTAAATATGAAGATAACTATAGTTTTCATAAGAAAGCAAAACATACTCCTTTCCCTTATGTTTTGCTTATATAAGAAAGAGTCTACCTCTTCTTCTGTGTGATGCAATGACACAATTTTATTGCAAGTAAATTTGAAATCACCAGGTGAATTTTAAATTTACCAGTGAGGATATTTGAAAAGTTTAATACTTACTTCAAATTGATCCAGAGCATCGGTAGGCGTATTCAAAAATGCCAAGAAAGAATGCTGTGAGTCTTGGTGCTCTATACCTAGAAGACAGCAGCAACTTTTTTTAAACTAGAACAATTAAAACTAAGTTTCATGGATGACCTTCCTATCTTATTAAAAGCTTTTTGCAAACTACTGTATTTCAAAGCTGATCAATATTATTAACAACATGTTAAAAAAAGGCAAAATATATTAGTTTCCTAAAATGTCATCTAGTGGTTAAATTACATCAATTTCAATGAAATATTTGTTCTTTGAATTACTGGAGTTATTGAGTTTATTTTCCAATACAGTACATCATTAATAAGACATCAAATCTTTTGACAGACTTAAGAAAAATTTTTAAGGAAGAACTTCTTTATGTTTGATTTTTTTTAGCTAATTTATCACCAAAGTTCCTGTTCTGAAATACTCTTATCAAGCATACAGGATGCACTGATCAATATAAATAATCTTTCATAAGAAAATAATGTAATGCAAATACAAATGTATTTAATTATGAAAAAACTTTAGTCAATCTGATTTCAGGTATTGTTAACAGAGTGAAGACTCTAAACCTACCTTTTTCTCAGATGAATTTTTAAAAATTCATAGGTACCTCTTGGCTATGGTACTGACTTAAAATGCACAATTTGTAAAGTAATTCTTTTTTTTTTTTTTTTTTTCAGATTTTTACGATAGGGCACATGTGCTTGCCAGAGAGTCAGAAAGCAAGAAATCACCCCCCGGGGGAGGATGGCCATACCACAATCCCTTCTTCATTCTCCTCTCGAGATCTTAGGTGGGCAGGCACACATGCACATGAGCCCAGTGTGAGTTTAAGCCACCAGGTCCAGGACTCGAACTGCAGTCAACTACATGGCGTCCAGCAACATAACCATTACACCATCTGCTGGTCCCCCAAAGTAATTCTTAAAATGTATGAATAAGAAATACTAGGGAGGAAAAAGCAGAAAACAATCTAACTTTTTTGACTTTCATAACCTGGTGAGCTAGACCTGACTGATTTGTATGGTTTTTCACATTATCTAACAATAATCATAGTTAACCACTCAACAAATATTTATTGAGAGTGTATTATGTGCCAGACACTGTTCTAAATACTGTGGAGATAACAATAACTAAAGCATTAAAAAAAAAAAACCTTACCCTTATTATGCAAGTATCTGATTATGCTATTTAAGTTGTATGATATATCATGTTAGGATATACAATGGAATTTTATTCTGCAATATTTAAAACCCAAATTAAAAAGCTTTGGTTAATATGATTTCATAAAGCAATGTGATAAATTTAAGGGTTTTTTTTTTTCTTTTTCAAGTTTAGATCAATTCTAAAAATGATGCAGTCGATGTCATGTGGTGTGCAAGTCAGACTCCACACTGGTCTCTTTCCTATTAAATTCCCTTCAGGGTCAAAGTGTCCCTGCCTTATATTATTTTTGTTCTCATCATTAAATAATGTGTCTCCCATCTAATCTTCATAAATTAAAACTCAGCCTGGTTTTCATTTTAGCAGGAAGGTTTGTGCTCCTAATCTAAGTTCCCATTCACTTTTTCTGGGCTTCTTCCTTTCCCTGTTAAGAAATCAAACAATAGGGACCAGCAGTTAGCGTAATGGCTATGTCGCTGGATTACCATGTAGTCGACCATGGTTCGAGTCCCGGACCTGGTGGCTTAAACTCACACCGGGTGCGTGTGCGTGCATGCCCAAGATCCCGAGAGGAGAATGGAAGAGAAGGGAATGCAGCATGGCCATCCCCCCTGGGGGGTGATTTCTCGCTTTCTTTCTCTCTGTCTCTCTCTGTCTGTCTGGTGAGCGCATGTGCCCTATAGCAAAAACCTCTCCAAAAAGAAAAAAAAAAAAAAAAGAAAAGAAATCAAACAATAAAAAGGTACTGGAAAACAACCATTTCTTTTTACAGCTTTTTCACGTTAGCTCCTTTAAGTGATTACTTTCTGTCCTCCACAATTTTACTAGCAGATGCAGACACCCAATCAACTTAACTTTACTGTGTGTCAGAAAGCTGGGAAATGATAGGGAAAGCACTTAAGTCTAACATGAAGACCATTAACTAGTTCAAAATTCGGGAACCAGCAGTTAGCGCAATGGCTGTCACTGGACTCCCACGTATTCAACCGCGGTTCACGTCCCGGACCCGGTAGCTTAAAACTCACGCTGGGCGCGTGTGCGTGCGTGCCCAAGATCCCGAGAGGAGAATGGAGGAGAAGGGATTGCGGCATGACCATCCCCCCTGGGGGGTGATTTCTCGCTTTCTGTCTCTCTGTCTCTCTCTGTCTGTCTCGCGATCGCACGCGCCCTATAGTGAAAAACCTCTCCAAAAAAAATTCAATAATGGCCTTTGTCATAAAACAAATTTCAAATAACTGCATTATGATCCCTTTAATGCTCTGAATTTCTTTTTTTTAGTCTTCACATTCTTTTTATTATTTATTTATTTATTTATTTTTAGATTTTTGCCATAGGGCTATATGCTCACCAGAGAGTGAGAAACAAGAGAGAGGGAAAATTAGAAATTACCCCTCAAGGGTGATGGTCACACCACAATCCTTTCTCTTCCATTCTCCTCTCAGAATTTTTGAGCACACACGCACAAGTGGCCAGTGTGATTTTCAAGCTGCCGGGTCAAGGGCTCAAACCACATTCGACCATGTGGGAGTCCAGTGCCTTAACTACCATGCCACCTGCTAGCCCAAATCTTCACATTTTTAGTTACTACATTATGGAAAGAAAGTTGAAGAAATTCATGTACTAGAGCTATCAAACATTCTGAGTTAGTTTTCACATTGATGGAAAAATACTCCAAAGTTTTCAAAAAACAGTAATAAATCTGGGGATATTTCATAGTATAGAGCCATTTAAGTATCAAATTGGAGGAATACAGTGAAATGCCAAAATAATTCATCACTGACTTTCCCAATTAATACTTGTTTCCTCATTATCCTGGAAGTGAATCCCCTACAAGATTTTGTACACTCTAGGCCCATAAAAAGTGCAAATAAATGTTTGTACCAGTACTCTTAGATTACTCATAAAATAATCCATGGCACTGAATCAGTCAAATTTTTGGCATGGTGACTTTTTCTGTTACTATAAAACCTTTAAAAACATATACAAAATAACTCAGATACCAGTCTACCAAATATGTATGTGTACATCATACAAATAAATATTCAGAAATGATGCTGGAATTCCTTACATGAGCAATTTTCCCAGCTACACAATAAGATTTTTTTTTTTTTTTTTTTTGGATAGAGGGAGTATGTGCTCACCAGAGGGTGGTAGGGAAGGAAGAGAAAAGGATAGTGAGAAAGCATCCGCCCCATGAGGAATGGTCACACCACAATCCCTTCTCTTCTATTTCTCCTTTTGCAATTTTGGACACACATGCCTGGAGTATTTTTCAAGCCTCCAGGTTCCAGACACAAACTGAAAAGTCAGACATGTGGGATCCAGCCACCTTAACCACCATACTGCCAGCTGGCCCAAGAAGCTGACATTTATGTAACAAAATGTATTCATAACAGGACGGTAGGTCCTGATTGAGGCAAACACACATTCCCATACCCTTTTCAGATCTAAGCTCTTCAGTGTCCTTTATCAGTTGTTCAATTTCTGACAGTAGTTCCAAGTTCTTCTTCTCTGCATCTTTTAGTTTACTTAAATAAAGGGAAAAAAAGAAAAATGTCATTAATTTTTATTGTTAGTTAGCCATCTTGTATGTAGCTGGACTTATTTTGTTTAAATGCCAGTTTTATTGAATTAAGTCTATTGCAGTTAGACAAATATGGCTGCTACCTACTTTTATGTAAATAAAGTTTTCATAGAACACAGTCAGACTCTTCCATGTAAGTATTCACTATGGTTGCTTTTGTACTACAACAGCAGAGTTGAGTAGCTGTGAAGGAAGTAATAATGGCCTTCAAAGTCTAAAATATTTACTATCTAGTCTTTTATAGAAACAGTTCACTGACAAGCTCAGGCTAATTATTAAATTTAAAAATCTTATAAAATAAAAGATTAATTTTATAATTCTGCTACATGTCATTCACACGTAACCATGAAAATAAAGCATATCCATGAGTTAAATTTATTTTCAATTTGACTCGCATCTCTGATTAACAACAAATGTGTAAACTTGTTTGTTCTGGGCTTAAGGAGCAAGAATTATACACATTCAAAATTATAACACAGAGACTGACATTCAGTAGCTCTTTATGCGGAGATTGATTCACATTCTCCAGGAAAAGGGTTTTTTTTTTTCCTCTTCTCAATGTCACAAAGGCACATTTAAATAAAGCATATGTAATTCATGTCTATATAACAAAAAGTTTATAAAAATCAAGTTATAATCTAACAGGGGTATTATGAATACAGTTTTTTTAAAATGTGATTCAAAACAATGACTACAGTATAAGGACTAAAGTTTCATACCATTTTACACTGTGAATTTATAGAACTCTATTTCTTCTCATGCTTTTGGAACTTTGATATTCTAAATAACCGATTTTTAAAAATTTATAGTTTCATTTGTGATATACATTTTCCATTATTTCTATATATCACCTATACTGATTTATTTTTGAATCATGTTTATAGCCAATTCAAGTATGACTTTAATTTCATTATTTATGTACTAGAATATAATGTACTCTACTATTGTAATAAAAATTGGAGAAATCTGTTCACTAGCTAATTGCCTCAGAGACTATAGGATATACTTTTATCAAATACATAAAGGCACATGAAAAGCAATAATTTTATTTTAATTTTTTAAAAATTTGCTATAGAGCTTATGTGCTTGTAAGAGAGAGATGGGGGAGAGGCAGGTGGAGAGTGAGGAGTGAGAAAGCATCCTCTAGTGGAGATGGTCACACTGCAATCCCTTCCTCATTCCTCCTCTTGGGATTCTGAGGATGCATGCGCACATGTCTGGTGCATTCCTCAAGTCACGAGGTCTACTTGAACCAGGTGGCCAGCCATGTGGGATCTAGCCGCCATAACCACTGCCCCACTAGGTGACCCCAATAATTATAATTTAGATATTTTGTCATTATGAAATTTACCAACTATAGAATCTTCATTCATAAAAGCTCTATAGTAGAGACCACAATTTCCAAATAACTACAGTTTGTTCTGACTGGTACATTTTTATACAAATATGGTATTTTTGAACATGAGAGAATTTTAGATTAACAGAATAAAATTTAAGTCAGTAAATTTTTACTAATAAGAGGAAAAGTAAATAATAGAATATTACTTAATACTATCAAAAGCACTTTATGGATATGCCTGAGAAAAACAAGGCTGTATTGAAATTCCATCACTAGCTACAAGGCTTAAAATCATCCATTTATTTTCAAATCTTTGTAACTTTTTGTGATCATCACTTTAAAAAAAAAAAAAATCAATGAGAGCCAGCAGGTGGCATAGTGGTTAAGGTGCTGGACTCTCTCATAAGGCCAACTATAGTTTGAGTCCCAGATCTGGTGGCTTGAAAGTAACTCTGGGCAGGAACAGCAGCTGGTATAACGGCTATGTCGCTGAACTCCCATTTAGCTAACTATGATTCTAGTCCCAGATCCAGTAGCTTAAACTCACGCCGGGCACGTGTGCATACATGCTTGAGATCCCGGGCACGTGTGCATGCATGCCCAAGATCCCGAGAGGAGAATGGAGGAGAAGGGATTATGGTGTAGCCATCCCCTCTGGGGGGTGATTTCTCGCTTTCTGTTTTTCTCTGTTTTTCTGGCGAGCACACATACCCTATAGCAAAAAACATCTCCAAAAAAGAAAGAAACTCTGGGTGCGTATGTACATGTGCTCAAAATCCCAAAAAGAAAATGGAAGAGAAAGGATTGAGGCATGGCCATCCCCCTGGGGGGGATTTCTCACTTTCCCTCTATTTCTCTCTGAGGAGTACACACATCCTCTATAGTAAAAATCTAAAACAAAACAAAACAAAAACCACAATGAGTAGGAAATTAAACATGTAATAGCTCTCCACATAGTTTTTGACAAACATAGAACATATTCTAATAAAAAGACTATATTATCTTACCATTCTGTTATGATATTAGATGCTTTAACTTTATTCAGTTCTTCCTGGATGGCCTGTTTGGCTCTTATTTCTGCATCCAGAGCTGACTGTAACTCCAGCCTAGCTGACATATCCAATTTTGCAAAACGACGCATTTTCCAGGGCATATCCTATGAAATGATATGACTGTTTTTAGCCTCATACTATTTTATTTTTAATATTTAATTTTAGTAATTCAAGTGAATTTAAAGGCTACTTATAAGCACTATCTTTCTCTAATAACAGAACAGAAATATTAGTTGTGGAAATACATAATTTTTCAGGCCAGCAGGTGGTGTGGTGGCTGAGGATCTGGACTCCCACATGGCCAACCATGCTTGAAGTCCCAAACCTAGCAGCTTACTTACTTTCTCACTTTCCCTTCCTCTCTCATATCTCTCTGGTGAGTGCATGTGCCCTGTAGCATATTTAAAAATAATAAAAATAAAATAATTCTATAAAATTTTTTTTCATGAAACTCAGAAGTAATTGTAAATACTCACATAAATGAGTTATTTTTCATGGTTATTTCCAATGATGACTAGCCATACAAATTATGGTTAACCTTTGTTTTACGTTTCCCTAAACTAGAGAAGACAGGAACTGATTTCTCAAGAAAAACTTTATAGTAAGCAAAAATCTAGATAAATAATTAGATTCATTATGTTATTTTGAGTCTTCTTTTTGTTAATAAGATAAAATGGCAAATTGGTAGTTTACCGTTGCTCGTGTACCCAAGCTGGAATTCCTTAAAGCTTCTAATTCTTCAGTCATTTTAGAAGCTAAGGCCTGAAGATACCCTCTTGCATCCTTTTCATCACTGACCCTAGAGTACACACATACAATGACAGAGATAAAACACAAAAGTAAAATACACAGAAAAATGTCTTATACATTAAATAAATATATATATTACTTCAAAGTTTCATTTTTAAAAAAGTGATAAAAATTTAAAGATATTCTTAAATCACTTCTCTCAGCAGGTCTACTACAGCACTACTTACCTGTCAACAGGCAGGAAGAAGTTTACTGAACTTTTTCAGTTAGGTACAAATTAAAGCTGACAATATTTAGTAATTTCCAAAGTACTCATATCTGATAAATCAGTAACTTCATCCTTGAACTACAGAATTAATGCTTTTTAAATCTAACACTCAACTGAGATATGCACGTGAGTCTTTCTGAAGACTACTTGGATTTCTTAGTTGGAGTCAGACATTTTTATCCTATGGAAAGCAACATATCCTTTGAAATTAAAATATACTAAATCCAGAAAATTCCATTTAAAATAGTATATTCCACAAAAATCAAAGTTATCTTCTAAAAACATTTTCGAAAATGATCAAGAAAATGACAAAGAGAACAGAGTAAAGTCTACCGAAACCCAGTTTCTACTTACTGCCTTATGATCATTTAACTGACATAACTATTACAATTTTAGATAGAAGAGTTTCTAAATCATATTCAGTAAGATTTCATATTATTTTAATTTCTCAAGAAATGGTATACATTTTTATACCTCTTCTAAAACAAAGAGGAGACAGGGGCTAGTGGAGTGGAAACTACCATATGAATATCTACCAAATAAAGTCCTCTTCTCAAGAAAAGTGAAAGCCATTAGTATATAAAAGGCAAGAGCACACAGAGAAGAAAATGCAGTAAAATTTGAAACACTCAACAATTTGGCTTTGTGCATGATGGCTGTTTTCACAGATGAAAATCCAGGGTACTGAAGCTATGAGGAGGGTACATCAGGTAAATCACTGCATTGTCAATGACAGACTACATACACAATAGTAGTCCCATAAATTACAGTAGGCTATACCATATGGCCTAGGTGTATAGTAGACTAAACCAGTAAGTCGGTATAAGTATAATCTATTATGTCCACACAACCAAAAAATGCCTAATGACACATTGCTCAAAAATTGCATCCCTCTCATTATGTGATACATGACTATTACTCTTAAAGAGGCTTTAAAAAGTAAGTTGATGCTCTTTTTTTCAGATGGGATGATGTGTATCGAGTACAGGCAAAGAATATAAAAAGAGAAACAAGGAAAGTATTGTAAGACATTGCTTACCTTAGTGATACATATTTTTAGGCTCTATGTACATGTCATGTATTTATTACCTTTTTTTTAAAGAGAGATTTTTTCGATAGGGTGCATGCACTCACGAGGGGAGGGGCAAGAAACTGAGCCCCCAGGGGGGATGGCCACAGTGAAAAACAGTTTTAGAAACTGTTCTAAGGAAGTTTGTGTAGTGGGACCTTGTTTACCTCCAGAATGCTTCTGACACCACAAGTGACCATATCTTTTCATTTAGTTAATGTACAGTACAAAGGATAAATGGGAATAGATAAGGATTACCTAAGAATGAAAAAGAGGGCCAGAGGGTGGCAATGGTAGTTAAAGTGTCTGAATCCCATATGGCTAACTATACAGTTCAAGTCTCAGACCTGGCTGCTTGAAAAGTACTCTGGGTATATATACATGCATGCCTCAAATCCCAGAAACAGAAACAAAGGAGAGGGGATTGCAGCATGACTATCCCCAAGGAGGGGGGGATTTTCTTGCTTTCTCGCTTGCTCTCTTTATCTTTCTCTCTCTCTCTCTCCAGGGAGAATATGTGACCTTTGGCAAATTTTTTTTTTTAATGAAAAAGAAAATATGCATAAAATAACCGTGAAGAAAACTATTATCACTTAAGTGGCCAGGTTAATCAATCTCAACTAGTAAACTTTTCATTAAGCCAATATCCAAATAATTGCATTGTTTGGATTAAATTACTTTAAAAAATATAGTGTTTATTCACTTTTTACGTCTTTTAAAGGAAGAAGGTACTCATTTAGTATAAATAAGGAAAATGGAAAAATACTTCAAACAAAATATCAGCAAACTAAAATTACTATAAATACATGAAAAAAAATAGTAGTTTTGATATAAATTAAACATCTATCATGTACCAAAAAGCATAAAAAAGTTCATACAAGAAATTACCAGCCCAGCCATGGTGGTACAAGCTGAGGCTCAATAGGAGGCCCAGGTCTGGTAGCCAGACAAACCTGAACACACTGGACATGGTGGTACACATCTGTGGTTTGAGCTGACTGAGAGACTAAAGCAGGAGACTCACGACATGGTGAGACTGTGTCAAAAATACCTGTCTCTATCTGTCTGTCCCTCTCCCTGCTTCTGTCCCATGTGCTCTCATTAAAATAATAATAATAATAATAAATAAATAAAAATTAAGATATCAAATTTTTAAGAGATTTTTTTGCTATAGGGCACATGCGCTCACTAGAGAGACAGAGAAAAAGAAAGAAATCACCTCCCAGGAGGGATAACTACAACACAGTTCTTCTCCATTCTCCTCTCAGGATCTTGAGCATATATGCATACCTAGTTGAGTTTAACTCACTGGGTCCAGGACTCAAACCATGGTCAACTATATGGGACTCCAGCACCATTATGCCATCTGCTGATCCCAAGCTATCAATTTTATTAGGAAATATGAATCATTCCCTAAACATACTAATTATTTATTTCTAAAAATTATTAGGAAATACATACTGTATTCTACTTTCTCCAGGTATTACGAAAATACAAAATGTTTACAATCACCATAATTATCACTTAATGAATGAATCAGTATGAAGTCTACTAAGTTAAATTCTAAATTAAATCCTGAGAGCTTAAGCAGTAGCTGATAAAACAAACTGTAACAATTTAAGGTTTTTAAAATGCCCTGTGTAAATTAATCTGTTATGAGAGAGGGCTGCAGGCTGAGGATCTTTGGCTTTTAAATTTTTCTTAGGCTTTCTGTTTCTTAAAATAATTACAAATATAGTAGTTTTGATCTTAGAAAGGAACATCTATGGTTAGTGGGTGAAGTTCTCTCAGTTCCAGACTTAGGAGGGCATAACAATTTCTTTTTTTAGAAAGAAATACCAGATTTCAATGAAGCTGTTAAAGTCATGTTATGGTTTAGATGATGGTTTGTCCCAACCTTTCAAATTTTGGAAATTTGATGTTGGGAGGTGGTAAAGCCTAATGGGCAGTAATTGGTCATGGAGACAACACTCTTTTGAACAGATTAATGGTGTCTGGCAAGACCAAGTGAGTTCTAGTTTTCATGAAAAAAACGTTATTAGTTTTCATGAGAGCTGGTGGCTATAAAAAGGAGAGAAATGCCAATAGCTGTCTCTCTCTGCAAACACCTGTCATCCTCTGGGCTTTTATCAGCCATGTTGCAGGCCTACACATCTGGACTTTCTAGCCACTAGCACTGTTAGTTAATAAACACGAAATAATTTCCTTTTTAGTCTTGCTAGAGGGTGTGTCCACTTGCTAGGAAGAGACAGAGAAACACAAACAAAAGGAGAGGAAGACAGCATTCCTCCTCTCCTCCCAAGTGGGGCATTGTCACACAGCAATTTCTTCTCTTCCATTTTTCTATCTCATCATGATTTGAGGCATGCACACACATGCTCACCATGTTTTCAAGGTACCAGGGCTGAGATCAGACCATGTGATTGGCCATGTGGTATCTGACTCTCTTAACCATCAGGCCAAGGGTCCACCTCCACTATTTCTTTATAAACCACCCAGTCTCAGGTACTTGTTACCAAAGCAAATGCAGACTAAGACAAGCTCATCCGAGACTTTTATTGGAGTTAGGGTTCTGAGTGACATAAGAGAAAATCTAGTCTAACACAAATAACAGATTAGTAATAAAGTTGTGTTTTTTAGTATAACTTACCTATGATAACAAAACAATAAGAAAGTTAAGTTTCCTGTAATTGATACCAACTTGACCACCTATTTACAATCAATCACAAAACAAACAAACAAGCAAAACAGTTAAAAGAGCACTTACCACTGAATTATTTCTGTGATTTGGGCTTCCCAATGTGCAACCGATTCTTTCTTGTCTGCCAGATCTTTAACCTCTTCTTCTAAGTGCTGATTGCGTATACTTAAGTTTTCATACAAAGTAGTAAGCTGAAAGGCAGTTTTAAGACAATGTAACTGTTAGGATGGATACTCAAGGTGCTCAGATACCTACCATATTCCTCTCAAAAGTGCTTGAATTTTTATTATTATGCAATCTCAGCTCACTGGTTTTGGAAATATGAAGTACTCCCTGAATTCTCCTGCATCCTTTGCTTTTTCCCTTACATCTTGCACCATATCAGTTCTATTTGTGAACAGTCTTCATTTGCCTAAAGAATGCTGATAGTGTTTTCTTTTCCTCCCTGGCTGCTTGAGGATATACCGCCATTGTGAATGACACGGTAACTATCCAAACCAGGAAATACATGACCAACCGACTACTTCAGAGGAAATAAATGGTCATTGATGTCCTTCAGCCTAGGAAGGCAACAGTACCTAAGACAGAAATTCAGGAAACACTAAAAAAGATGTACAAGCTCACACCAGATGTCATCTTTGTGTTTGGGTTCAGAACCCATTTTGGTGGTGGCAAGACAACTGGCTTTGGCATGATTTATGACTCTTTGGATTAGCGAAGAAAATGAACCTAAACATAGACTTGCAAGAAATGGCCTCAATAAGAAGGAAAGATGTCAAGAAAACAGCGAAAGGAACGCAAGAACAGAATGAAGAAAGTCGGGGGACTGCAAAGGCCAAGGTTGGTGCTGGCAAGAAGTGAGCTGGAGATTGGAGAGCAGGCGAAGGAGTGAAGATTCTGCAGTCACTGTCTGCGGGGATTGTGTGGATTTTTCGTGAGAGGATTAATAAACTAAAAAATTTTCATGTAATAAAAAAGATTGCTGATAATAACATGGTTTTCCTTTTTGTCTAAAAATGTCGTCTTCTTTTGGGGGAAAAAAGTATAAAGAATTTCAAGCATATACAAAAATGGCCAACATATGTAAATTCTCAAGAGCCCACCACATCACTTCAGAAATGACCACTTTTAGTTCAATCTTGTTTCATTTGTGTTCCTGTCCTCTTACCACCCATATAATTTTGAAATATCAATAAATACCAGAGACTATATAGTACTATCCATATACATTTCTGTGTATATCTCTAAAACCTAATGGTCTTTTTAAACATAAGCACAATATTATACTTAAAACAGATTTAACCAATTTCTTTTTTTTTTTTTTTTTTTTGTAGAGGTTTTCGCTATAGGGTGCGTGCACTCGCCAGACAGAGAGAGACAGAAAGCGAGAAATCACCCCCCAGGGGGGATGGTCACACCACAATCCCTTCCCCTCCATTCTCCTCTTGGGATCTTGGGCACGCACGCACAGGCAACCGGAGCGGGTTTTAAGCCACCGGGTCCTGGACGTGAACCACGGTCGACTACGTGGGAGTCCAGCGACATAGCCATTATGCTAACTGCTGGTTCCCACCAACTTCTTAATACCATCACATCAGTAGTAATTGTTCAAGTTTCTGGTCACTTCAAAGTGCAAAAAAAAAAACCACAAAAAACACCCAAAAAACTAGTTAAATTAAACCATGATACCAATGAGTAAACACACCATACTGAATGGTTTGATATATATATATTTTTTCTTTTTTGAGAAGTTTTTGCTATAGGGCATGTGTGTTCGCCAGAAAGACAAAGAGAAACAGAGAGACAGAAAGAGAGAATTCACCCCCCAGGGGACATGACCACACTGCAATCCCTTCTCTTCCATTCTCCTCTCGGGATCTTGGGCACGCATGCACATGCACCTGGTGTGAGTTTAAGTCACCAGGTCCGGGACTCGAATCGCAGTCGACTACATGGGAACTCAGAGACATAGCCACTACGCTAACTGCTGGTCCCAGTTTGATATATTTTTAAGTCTATTTTATTTATAAGTACCCCTCCAATACTCTTATTTTTCTTGTAATTTAATTATTGAAGAAAGTAGGTTATCCTGTAGCATTTTCTATATTCTGAATTTCTGCCTCATTTTTGAAAGATACAAGAGAACTTCAAAGACTTCATGGAAAAATTAAAGTACAAATTTATTTTGGCACAAAATAATTTTGAAATCCATGTATAATTTTTTCAAACTATGTATTTTTCTGTGAACTTTCTGAAGATCATACATATATAATACATAAAATTTTTAAATGTTAAATATATATATCTATACGCATACATTCTAGGTTGATCACTATTTCACTTTATTACTTGGAAGATATCATTCCTACTGCCTAACTTCTAGATTGAATGATGACCAGAACCAAGTATTAAACTTAGAAGTATCTGTATTTAGAAACAAAATTTTAAATAAATAAATATTTTTCAATTTATTATCTCCAACTGCCATCCTTCTGCAACGCTGATGTCAATTCCTAATAGACAATTGTAAAAATGCTAATATAAACAGAATTATGTTTTAATAATTCTACATTTAAATTTAAAAGGGCTAGGTAGTTGCACTTTTGTTAGGATTTCTATACTTTTCCTCCAGTGAAAGTATTTTGTTCAGTCATTAGTTATTCCAATTATATATTGAAAGAGCATGACCAAATAGAGGTAAAATAGGGACTCTTCATTTTTTTCCTTTAGTTTTTCATGTAGCTCCATTTCTCTCACTACGGTTTCCATGATTAATTAATATTATTAGTTCTCTAGTGTAAATGTGAAATTACAGTGGTCATAAATTTTCCCAACTTTGGCTTAATTGTTTCTGCTCTTGCCAAAGTCCAGCCTTATCTTAGCCTGAATTTAGTCAGTTATGACAGGTTAAACGAGATGTAAGAAAAGAGTAACAAAAAAGAATAGATGGAAAGTGAAATAAAAAATAGTGGCTCAAAAAAACAAAAAGAACAAAGAATAAGATGAAATAAGCAAAACCCTTTACAGAAAACTCTTTCCAAATTGGTATAATAAAAATGTGCCTGTATAATACAAGCAACCATGGATTATAAGAAGGACTATTGAATCAAAAATGTATGTCAAACATAAAATTATACTCATTAAATCCTACCTGTGTAGAACATCTAGCATATGCTCAATTAATAAAAACAAAATAGAAGCACTCACTTTATCAAGTTCACTTGTCAGCTTTTTATTTTCTTCAGTTAATAACACTTTTTCTCGTTCGTACTGTTGTTTGAATTCATTTTCAAATTCTTCTCTTTCACTTTGACTAACACAATTCAAAACACAGAAGGAAAAAATGAAAATGGATTAAAGGTGAACTAAACACTTGAAATTACTTTGCAAATTTTAATACATAAATATCAGATTGAACTCCAGTAACATTATTCACATAGAATACAACAGTAACAAAAAGAATACCACAAGATTCTATGCACTGACAAGCATGAGAAAAACACTTTCTAAGAATTTAAAATATAATAATGTTGACTGGGTTCATTCATTCATTAAACAAATACTTATGAAGTGCCTTCTAGGTGCCAAGATACTGTTATAGGCCCTAAAAATAAGTCCTGCTCTCATGAAGCTTACAGTCCAGTAAGGAGGAACAGGCGATGAAAGTGAGTAAAAGAACTTATTTTGAATGATAAGTTCTATAAAGAAAACAAAATACGATAATCCTAAAAGTATTATCTGAGTGGAGTTGGCTAGTTTACATTACATAGTCACATAATGTGTCTTAGCAATGTTAATAAAATAAGCTGAGAGTAATAATTGCCATCTGATTCACATTTGCTATGCTCTAATCAAACACAAACTAGTCTGAGACCTAAGTAGATACTTTTCTTTGTATTTCTGTGTATTTGTACAATAGTATTCATGCCTTTATTTAAGATTGGGCCAGAGTCACAACCTAGCTTTGTTAATCTGATTAAAAATAGCATTCCAAATTTTTGTTCATAATTAAGACATTTATATTTAAATTTAGTTTTTCAATTTACTTCAAAATGATTTCAATTCTACGGGCTGGCAGGTGGCATAGTGGTTAAGGCTGCTGGACTCCCACATGGCCCATCTGTAGTGAGTCCCAGACCTGGCAACATGCTTTCTCATTTTCCCTCTCTCTCTCTCTCACTCTGCCCCTCTCTGGTCAAACTTAAATACATAGATAGATAGTATAAATAAATAAATAAATAAATAAATAAATGTGAAATAAAACAGTTGTTTAAAAAAATTATTTAAATTCTATAGAAAAGTTACAATTAATAGTACAAATAATTCCTGTATGTTCTTCAGCCAAATTCTCCTGTTGTTAACATTTTACTTTATTTGCTCCATTACTGTGTATGTTTATATGTATGCTTATGTGTTTCTGTGTACCAGTTTTATTAGTGAATGTTCTTCCAAACAACTGAGACGCAGCTTCAGATATTATGCCTTGTTACCTCTAAATACTCCAGTTTATTCCCAAAGTCAAGGGCATTCTCTGCCATAATTAGTAAACAACCTTCCAAATTAGAAAAATCACTGTTAGACATAATTATTCAAATTCACAGGACCAATTCAAGTTTTGTCCACAATTGCAACAATATTATCTTTTCTTATCTAATCCAGGATCCATCTGAGAAATACATATTGCATTTAGTAGTCATGTCTCCTCAGTTACCTTTAGTTTAGAACATTTCTTCAGTCTTTCCTATCTCTTATAACAGTTTTAATGAGTACAGATCTCTTTCTGTGGAAGGTAACACTCAACCTCGGTCTATGTGATGTTTATGACAAGGCTCTAAGAATTTATTCTTGACTAGACTCTTCCACAAATAATGATATTGAAGGACCTGAGTGATTCCATTTTTTTACGGGACAACTCCATTTTGTTAAACCCACCTTGCTGAGAATCAGCCCCATTTTTAAACCCACCTTGCTGAGAATCAGCCCCATTAAAAGGGGGGGAGCCGATCACGTAGAATGTCATAAGACCATCACCCCACCAGGGCTGGCCAATGATAAAAAACAAAGGCAATACCAGAGACCTGAAGTAACTTTCTTGCCAATCAGTAAAGACAACTATGCTTCTTGAAATCTACAGCCAATGTATAGACACTTGAGTGCATTCCTCAGCACCCCTCCACCTCCCCACCCAATAGCCAAAAAAACCCAGCCCAACTAACACTGGGGCTCTCAACTCTGACCCACTGTCGATTAGGATTGGGGGTCCTGGCTCAAGCCCGAATAAAAGCAACCCTTGTGTGCTTGCATCAGAATCGGACCCTTGGTGGTCTTTGTGAATTTCATGACCAGTGCATATTTGGGGGCTCGTCCGGGATTCCCGAAGAGCCCCAGGATCCCCGAACTGGAGGGTCAACTGATAATGGCTGGTGAGTGTGTTTCCTTTGTCTCTGTGTTTGTCCTGTTTGATCTCTGAGGGCCCTAACTCTGTAATAGACTGGAATTGGTCTAGCAGATCGGTGGGCCGCCGATCTGGGGGCCTAGAAAATGTTTCAGACCACCCCCAGGGGGGGGATGAAGTGCCCCTAGTTGTTCTGAGTTCTCTGAGGGGACATAGAGGGTCACTCCTGCGGCACAGTGTGAGGCCATGGTCCCACTTTAGGTTTGCTTTTCACTCAGTGAATAGCATCTGCGCAGCCACATTTGTCCTGTCTGTGTGCTTATTACCTATCTCTGTTGGTGTGTATGTTTTTCTGATGGAAATGGGACAAACTCAGACTTCCCCTGTGATGATTATGATGAAGCATACCTTGAAGAATGATTAATCTGCTTGCTTTTTTTCTGCAACTGGCTTTTTCTCTTTGAAGAAAAAAAAACCCCACCCCCTATCTCTCCTGAAGTCCCTTCACTTTGTTCCTTTGTTCTTGTAAATCATCAGGTCACCTCGGACAAGATTGTGCATTTTTGGCCTATATAAGCTCCATTCCCCTTTCACTTGGAGCTGCTGGATTTTGAGAGAGGAGTTCTCCTGTATGCCATTGACTTAATCAATAAATTCCAATGAATTCAGCTGTGTCTGGATGTCCTCTTATTTCTCGCTGAGTAGACTATGACATTTGGAGGTCCCAGCAAAATCGCGTACCTGTCTGATAAGTGGGTGAGGCATCCTAGGGAGAGCGGCCTCACTTGGCCCAGCTGCCGGTTACCTGGGACTGCTCTAGGGGAGGCACCACCTGGGATTTCCCAGGAACTTGGAACTTCTCTTGGGATTGCTGACAGCTGACCAGAGAGGCTGACTGTTCCTCCAAAAGTGTGTGGAACTTTGCTGTAAGACCTCTGGAGGCATTTCTTTGGGTGTTCCTGTCATGTTCTAGGGATTTCTATGGATTTCTACTGCTTCTACTGTCGGTTTACTTATTTTCTTCAAACCTCTTGGGAAATATTTCTTGGTTCTATCCTTCATACCCTTCAGTGGAGAATATAGAACAATCAATTATTGACCTCACATACCAAGGGGTTCTTCAAGAATTTTACTCTGAAGAGGTTGAAATGTTCATTTCCTTTCTTGTCTTAATTCTAAAAATTATGAGAGACAAAAATAGCTCTCTTAAGGCTCCCCCTTAGCTGCATACTACACCACTTTGATAAGTGCTTTGTAGAAAAAAACAAAAAAAAACAAAAAAACAAAAAAAACCCAAAAAACCCAAGGAACTATATTCTTGTAATTGGCCCTCAGAAAAGGCCTCAGCAAAGAGAACAACCCCCCCCATCCTTCAATCTGATCCGAGGAGTTGGATCTTCTTCCCCCTTATAATCCTAGCAGCATCAGCCAAGGAAGGACAATGAGAGGCTACAGGAGGCAGCCACCTCAGCTCTCCTCTCATTGCCCTACAACCATAGTAGATCCAAGGAAATGAGGGAGGATTGAAGCCCCAATTCCTCAGAGGCCATATTGCCCTTAGAGGAACTACCCCCAACAGAGGGAGGTTAAGTTATGATTATAGCATCAAACTCTCCATCCAAAAACTAAGAGGGCCTTTTAAAAACCATCTCACTTCAAAGGAATAGGAATATCAAGAATATTTATGTTATAAAAACTCTAATGGTATAGACAACAAAAAGTTAAATTTCTACCATTTTCTACTGTCCTTAAGCATATAAAAAAAAAGTTACTCGAAAGAATATTCATGTCAAAGTAACCCCAGGGAAATTGGCTCTTTTAATCCTGGTGTGTGTGTGTGTGCATCTATGCATGTAGTATGTCAAGTCACGTACATGTTGTATGTCTATGTGAAAATAGACCTTAAAGTATTCTATTCAATTTAGTTTATAAAAAGAGAGCTCATAAAAATTGGCTTAAATGTTTCTCAAGTTTGTATAACTTTAGTGAATGAGCTGGCTTCAAATGTAATGAAAGAAAAAGGTTAATAAGTGAAAGTCTTCACAATCTCAAACATATATTTTGTCTGGGTTTTTATTAATCAAACAACATCATGTTTATCTTAATATGGTTGGTTTAATAAAACAGCTAGTATTTATGTGTTGTGTGTTGCATTTTACATAGTAGATATCTAACAAGGAAACAAAGTTATAACTAGCTTCTGGCTTTAGTTTTACTGCTAACAGAGAATCTTTGACCTCAAAATAACTCTTAGATGTTTACAGAGGGCCCCTGAGACATCCAAAAGAGAAATGTTAAACCAATTAGAATTATTCTTTATATGTTGAATAAAAATGAAAAACATTGTCAAATTTAATTCTAGTTTTCTTGATATTGTATTTAAGTATATGTATAAATAAGTTATATACTTGTATGTCTATGTATGCATCATGTTCCAAAATCATTTGAGATTCCCAGGAATTAATGGTAGGCTATTATGTTAAATTAGTATATATAGTCAAATTTGTAAGTTATAAATTTTTGTCAAAGCACTAACTATGGCTCTAATCCTAATGTTATATCCTTAAAGAAATTCACAAAGATGATAAAAAGAGAATGTACTCTTACAAGTTTCTAAAGAAATCTAATCATTTAGATAAAATCTTCATTTTCTATGTAAACTAATTGGTTTTCTAAACTTAGTTAAGCCAAGGTTGACCAAAGAAAAATGAGAGAATGTTTGACAAGGGTGCATGTTGGGTGGCCAATAGAATGCACCTGAGTTAAAAAATTAAAATTGGTATAAAGGGATATAAATCCAATGTCAAATATGGACTCATGAAAACATATTGCCTTGTTCCCTCTGAGTCACCCTTATAATTCCTGTTGTTAAGTTAACATGCTTTAGTTATTCCTATTATTGGTTTTTAAATTTAAAA